CCTAAGGGGAAATTTGGGTCCATGGTGAAATTTTATGTATCGCTAATAGGCCAGTGAGGAAGATGCATTTTTGGCAATGAGCAGAGGCTGCCTAAGTCCATTTTCACATATACCTGCTCATGTGTATCAGTTCTGGCTTTATTAATTTCATTTCAATACAGGTGGCTATGGAATATCATTTATATATCAAAGAAGAAAAAACAATAATGCAGAAAGTCCTCTGGCATCTCTGCTACTCTGGACAAGGATCACAGTGACATTGCCAGGTGTGGAATGATTAGGTGCTGTGGGTGGGGGCAGGGGGCAATTTTGGACAAAGTTCAAGTCCAGTCCATTTTGAGTTTCTCTCTTTCAAATTTGAGAGGTTTGTGATTTGGTTGCATTTGTGAAAGGGTGGGTATTATATCCTGATTTTCCTAGAGGGTTATAGGGTTATCTTATTTCGTATTCAAAGATCTCTGATACCTGGGACATCCTTATGCCTAGTTATTAGAAATTTAGTGGAAAACATGACTGTCTTAGAGTGCATCATACTCTGTGACATAGCACATTATCCTGGAGAAAGATGGCCTGCATCAATGTCTACCACATCAAATGCCTATAAAAGGAAAGATTTTAGAGACATCTTTGTGTAGCTGTAGCTGTTTCCATCTTCAAAATAAATGAATGGTTTATAATACCATATAGTTATTTTTAAAAATTGACAGTGTCTCAGGTATTTATGTTCATCTCTTTCTCTCAAGGTCTCTATTGAAGTGACCATTTCAAAACACTTGTATGCTTCTGTTCGATCTTTATTTACACAGCAGAGGTGAAGGCAATGTGCTACATATTTTGCCAGTTCATTTAGCATTTCTTCCCTCTCCAGATGCCCCTTCGGAAAACCTTTACAAAGAGCCCTGTCCCCACCCTGATCACCATCCTCAGAAGTGTGTGATTCATATTAAAGCAGGACAGAAAATAAAAAGACGGCAATTTAAGATGAGAAAACTCAAACACAATTTTGAAAATCCCATCGTTCATCTGATTATCTGCTTTGTAATGTATCCAGACTCTCGTTTGCTGCCTATGATGTGGATATTGAAAGACAGTCACAGAATCAACAGCCGTGTTTCCCAAATGTTAGAGGAGTCAAGAAAAATGTAGCAAAAGAAAGAGATTAACATTTATTTGTTTACGTAATCCTTATTTTTTTATGATTACAGCCATTGATAATCAAGAATTCTTTAGCCATATTTACAAAATGCAAACTTAAAAATTAAAAAAAAAAACTATTCCTGGGCTTGCCTGGTAGATTTCATATTTGAAATGAGATCTGTTCACCTTCCATAGCTCATGAACTTGCCATTGATAAGTACATAGAAATTTTCACTACAAACATTTTGCAAAACTTTTCTCATATTTACCAAGGAATTTATGATATGCATAGAAAACCATGACAAAAAAATGCAGGGATGAGTCCAATTTTTTCACTTTAATAATAATAATTCTAACATAGTGATAGCATTCTATCTAAGTAGCAGATTCAGGCATTTATTTTTGACTGCCACTATCTCAATCTGGAGCTGCACCGTCTAATATGGTAACCATGTGGCTATTTAATTAAAATTAAGTAAATTAAAAATTCAGTTCCTCAGTCTCGGTAGGCATATTTCAAGTGCTTAATCACCACATATGTCCAGTTGTACTATATCAGACAGTGCAGATATAGAACATTTCCACCACTGCAGAAAGTTGGATCAGACACTGCTGCAATCTTCAGAGATGCCACAAGAAATAGACTAAACTGGAGAGACGATAACATGCAGCATGCCACATTGTTTTAGCATCTGAAACAAATGACCACTTTCATATGCACGAAACTGGTGCTGAGAGCAGGATGTGGACTGAGAAACCTAAGCATGCAAAGACATCTGTCTGTCTCTAACTCTTACTTCTATTTTCTGATGTTACCATAGAGTGCCTTTGATATTTCAAGAACATATGATGGCTCCTAATATGGTAAAGATCGGGTCAGCTAATCTAGAACAAGCAGAAGAGGAATCTGGAGACCTGGGGAGTGATCCCTAGACCAGCACCTTCACAGACTGAGAGGCTGGGGCATCCTGTGTGTAGGTTCAGAGCAGGGCCTCCTAAGTCCTTCAGAGTCACAGGCTCTCTCAAAACACGGATAAAAGAAACCAACCCCGTATCCTTTGTAGGGACATGGATGAATCTGGAAGCCATCATTCTCAGCAAACTGACATAGGAACAGAAAATCAAACACTGCATGTTCTCACTCATAGACGGGTGTTGTTGAGCAATGAGAACACATGGACACAGGGAGGAGAGCATCACACACTGGGGTCTGTAGAGGGGTGGCTAGAAGAGGGACACAGGGGGTGGGGAGGGTGGGGAGAGAGAACATGGGGAGAAAAGTCAGATATAGGTGACGGGGGATGGAAGCAGCAAACCACCTTGCCATGTATGCAACAATCCTGCATGATCTGCACATGTACCCCAGAACCTAAAGTACAATTTAAAAAAAAAAGAAAAAAGAAACAGACCTGCTTATCACTTAGTTATGTGCATCACTTCAGGTGCTCACGAATCCACCTGGAATCCCTAGGGTGTCTGAGGAGAGTTGAGGGAGGCCAGTATCCTCTGAGGGTAGCACTGCTCCTTAGGAGCCCTCAGTGAGGGATGAGCTACGACACTGAGATGAGAGGTTTGCGTGACCAGAAACCTGTGCTGTGCCCACACACACGGAAGAGTGCAGGGTCTTGACCTTTTGCTTTTTGGTTTTTGTGGGGGACAGATGGCCCTCCTTCCTTCAACACTCAAGACTCCTTCCATCGGAATGGTATCCTAAAACCAGTCCCTACTCCCATTTAGCACCACACTGTCCTCTCATCAAATGCACCAAGAAATAAATGTGAAATGATGGATAGATGGTTCACAAGCCTATGTTCAATAATCTTAATGTCTTATCTTCAATGTTATAGTAATGCAATTAAAATGTAGTAGGAACTCTCTAAAAGAAGTCCACAGCTTCCAGAATAAAGATGTTTTTCTAAACTTATGCTATTGTACTACCAGTGACAGCAAATAAATCGTTTCGCCTTTTTAGCTTGCTGAATCAGTTCTATAATCAATAGTAGCTTAAGAGAATTAATATATCCATAAAAAACAAAAGCATTTTATATCCCTGCTGACTGTTGGTTTATCAAAGATAAAGAAAATGATTCATCTCAGATTTTTATTAATAATTTATTTTCAAAAGGAATTTTTTCTAGTTTTTTTACACTTCTAAAGGTCACTCATAAAATTATTTGAATCACAATAAACCTATATAAATTATTTTCATTAATACAATTTATGTGTAGGTTATAATTACTTAAACACCAAAAGCCACTCACTTTTTGTAAAGAATTTATAACATATTATTTTGCCCAACAGGAATCAGGTTTTAAAGAAATGCCACTGTGTTATCTTGTAGGAATCAGTACATAGACAGGCAAACACAAAATCCTTGCAGCCAATCAAATATAAATGAATCCAAAAATCCCAACAAAGCTTTGGAAATACATAGTTATATTAAGATTAAAGTATAAAAGTTAGATATACTCGTTATAAATTTTTTCTCATCATACTTACATTTTCACATAACAAATTCATACTCTAACAGATTATCATAAAAAAGATATACAATGTTACTCACCTCTTCCCCACCCCAAAAAAATTTTATAACAAGGTTTCCTAATAAGATACCACCAAGTTACTCTTGTAAAGTAGTTTGGAATAATTCTAAGTTCAATAACTGAATACCAGAGGACTGTTCAAGAATCAGAAATGTTTGATAACAATATGCAAATATTTTAAAAGACATACTAGATATAATGCAAATAGCCCTTTCAGTGTTTCCATACAGGGAGAAACATTTAATTTTAATGCACATTTTTAAGCTATTTACTTTGATTTCTTCAATTTATAATTTTATTTTTAATATACATTTATTTGTTAGTAATTACAAACAATTCCCAATTTGCTTTTGGCCATGACTGCTGGACTTCCTAGTTAAATGTGTCAATTGCTTAATTTAACTGATATTTGGCCAGAACCTTTTCTTGTCCTTAACCTGATGTGATACTTATGAGTGTGCACAACGGCTTTGCTGTCTGAAGGCAGAGAAGCCCTTTCAGCTGATGAAAATCACCAAAAGCAGTCTTTGATAACAACAATAATTAAATGGCAGAAGCCGGTTAGAGACCAGCATTTATTTATTTCTTTCTTCAAATTAAATGTAAAAGCCTTCTCCGGTTAAGAGATTGGCAAGTTTTTACAAATAGCATCAGGGAGCCTTTTATAAAGGAACACAGCCACATTAGAATGGAATCATTAGGCAATACGTTTATTTTGAAGCCAATTAACCTTTTCTCAGAAAAATGCCTGTGCTGTAATGGCCTCGGCGGTGGAGGTCAGCCTCTAACAGGGCACGTGTGACAGGCCTCGGGCGGGCTGACACAGGCGGGGACGGAGAGGAGAGCCAGGATTGGGATCGGCCTGCTTTTGTATTCTGCTCTGCATTTCCAGGGAGCCGACAATCTTGACCTATCCATTTAGGTAATTAAAGCTTCCATTTGGAAGTGTCCTGCAGGAAGGTGAAATTCGGGGGAGATAAATGGCTGTTGCTCTCCGTATCCAGCCGCCAGTTCCATCATTTGATGGACTGCCTGAAACAGGCCGGGCTGCCAGGTTCTCATAAAAATAGAGATGAATTGGGTAGCACACAATTCTCTAAGGCAAAGCAACGCTGTCATTTTCTTCTTTGCAGGCTATAATTTAATTGTTAGTCAAGGTGGATGGCTGACACAGAGGGGCTTTCTCTAAGAGCTTATCCACCATCTTCCATTTGCTGAGAAAGGACTCCAGTTTATTTACTCAGCAGCCAAGTGTGTTTGGCACTGGGAGATGTCACTTTAGCAAGTGCAGCTGGCCAGCACAGCTGTGCCCTGACTTACCTTCCAGGCGATTTTGTTTCCTTTCGAATCATGCTCAAGGGCAACTGGGAAGTCACCTCGCTCATAGAATTTTCGAAATGCCGTCGGCTTGGTTGGTCTTTCTTTAAATGCCCCTGCAACTGGAGGGCCTCTCACCTTAATGGAAAAAATAAAAATAAAAAATAAATAAAAAACAAGGAAAACAATAGAGATCAGGTTTTAAGACATACTAAAAAAAATAAAAATAAAAAAATAAAAAATCCACAATAAAAAGACTTTCTGTTTTTAAAGATTTCAGTTTGTATAAATATGCTGGAAGATAAAACCACATTATCTAATAAGGGATAACAGAAATCTGTTAATACAAACACCTGGGGAAGAAAATTATTTTATAAGCACTATTTAAAGTCTACTTTATTTCAAGCTACTTTAGAAAGCATTCCTAGAAAATGTCACTTAAAATATCGCTTTACAAGGAAGAGAAGACTGACATTATGTTTAAGTAAAACATTTTAATAGTGGTGTCTTTAGAATGTTAAAACTTTTACAATTTCAAATACTTGTAAATTTTAATATTTGTTCTGATATACTTTATGGAATACTGAAGTAATTTAAAACATTTCTTTTCAATCTTTCTATATATATGTAAAATAGCAGAACATGTTCTCATATGAATATTAACAAAAAAACTACTAAAATATGATATAAAAGTAATAATAAATTGGAGAATGTAGAAAGAAGAAAATGTGGCTTACTGTGTGTGTGTATAGCATACATTTGGTAACATGAATTCATGAGAAAGTAACATTAGAGCAGATGAGAAATGAGAAACAATGAGACACTTCCATCTCCAAAACTCAAATTGTCATTACAGAAAAAATACTTCCTATAGAGTTCTTTACATTGAACACATTTTTTAAATCTGCATTATTTACATTGGACCTAATTCATTACATTATAAAATTGAAAGTAGTAAGTAAACTATTTAGAAAATGAGTGTGCTGTTCTGTTCCTTACATATAGTCTAAACATGATTGTTTTTCCCGCTTATTAAAAAAGATAAATCCTAGTCATTTTATATAGTAGCTTAATAAATTCATGATTATTTTGCTGATACTATGGACAAAATAGCAAATAACTTAATATTTTAAGGTTTTTTGTTTATTTCAAGCTACTTTAGAAAGCATTCCTAATTTGTAATATTTTTGTTAAAATCTTCAATTTTAATGAATAAATATATTAACATATATCTAAATAGTACACAATATATAAAATAAATGTACTATATATATGAGATATGAAAAATACATTGTATCTAATACATACATAAAAGGATTATATTTGAAATTAAGTGTAGTATTAAGAAATACCTTATTACAATGATTAAATGCTAAAGTGGAGTTGAAGAGTTAGGTAACACACATTTATTAGCATTTAGAATTTACTCACTACATAGCACATTACTCCCAGTATATGATTATATGAGTAATTGAGGCAGCATTGGGTATTACCAGTAGGAAGGAAGATTGCCTTTTACTTATTGAAGATTAGGAATTTGTTCTTGTATTAGAATTAATAGCTACCATTTTCAGTCAAATTCATTCAATTATTAAATAACCATATGTAGATGACAACTATTTTGTTCAGCTCTTTGAGCTGAAGGCTATATAAAAAGAGCAGTTATAACTACATTACTATCATGGAAATTATACAGTAATGATTCCTGGACTTTTGAAATTCATGGAGAAGTAAATCTTGAATCACATTTTTGGGAATTGATAAGTGATTGACAAATTTTTATGTTGCCCAAAAGTTATATTTTTTAGAAAAAATGGATGATAACATCTACCAACAGGCCTCATTTTAACACCCTCAAAAAAGTGATATAATATAATCTAAAGAAAGAAAACTTGACCAAGTTAAATGAGCATAAATGTGTGAAGAAATATTTATAGTAAATTATGTGCAATAGTGCAAGTGTATTGTACATATATGTATGTGCACGTATGTGTGTATTGTTACTGTAGAATACTGACTACTGGTCAGCAAAAGACTCATTTATTTTATTTTGTTTTCCTTATTTAACTTTTTGTAAGATAATCATAGATCCATATGCAATTGTAAGAATAACACACAGAGAACACACATAACCTGTATTTGCTTTCCCTAATGGTAATATCTTACAAACTATGGTACTATATCACAACTAGGTTATTGACACTGATACAGACAAGACACAGAACATTTCTATCACCACACAGCTCCCTCCTTTTGCCCTTGTAACAGCCACACTCCTTCTTCCCCTCAATCTTTGTCTCCTAGAAACAACAATGCCCTCTTCATTCCTATAATTTTGTTATTTCAAGAGTCATACAGCATGTAATCCTTTGGAATCAGCTTTTTTCACTCAACATAAATCTCTGTAGAATCATACAAGTTGTTGTGTGTTCAGATTGAGTCTTCCTAATGCAAAAATCCCAAATCTGCAAAGCTCCAAAACCTGAAACATTTTGAGCACTGACAGTGTTCCCAGGAAATGCTTATGAGAGCATTTTGGATTTCAGACTTTCAAATTAGAGATGCTGAGTTGGTAACTATATGTAATGCAAATATTCCAATATTTGAAAAAATAAAAAATCTGAAATACTTTGAATCCCAAGCATTTCAGATAAGGGGTACTCAACCTGTATCAATAGTTCATTGCTGTTTAATGCTGAATAGTATTCTGTGGCATGGATATATCAGTTTGTATAACCATCCACCTTTGAAGGTCATATGGATTGTTTCCTGGTTCTGGTTATTATGAACAAAGTTGCAAAATTTTTTGTAGATGCTCTTTATTAAATTGAGTACCTCCCCACCTCTATTCCTATTTTTCTGAGAGTGTTTCATTATAATTAAATGTTCAAATTTTTTCAATATTTTTCTGCATCAATCAATATGCTCCTGTGATTTTTCTTCTGTCACTTTTTGATATGGAGTTTTCTATTACAAATGTAATAGCCTTTAAAGTTATAGAGCTACTTAAATAAGCTTCCTACTGGATGACTTGCAGTAAGATGTATTTTCTGAGTAATTGGCCCATTTTATTTAAGTTGTCAAACTTAAGTGAAGAATTGCTTGTAGTTTTTCTGTATTATCCTTCTGATGTCTGGAGGGTCTGTCATGATATCCATTATTCATTTCTGATATTTAGAAATTTGTGTCATCTCTTTTTTCTTTGTAAGTCTTACTAGAAGTTGGTGAATTTTATTGATTTCTTCTGCATTTCCAAAACTACATTTTAACTGGATGTAGGATTTAAGTTCATGATTCTTTCCTTTAGCACTTGAAAAATATTGTGCCATTTCCCTCTAGCCTTCATGGCTTCAGATGATAAATCCACTTTCATTCATGTTGCTTTATTGCTTTCCCTTATTGAAAAGGTGCCATGTTTTTTTTTTTTTGTATGCCAAGATTTTTCTCTATCTTTAATTTTCAGAAGTTTAATTACAATGTGCCTTTGCATGCATTTCTATGCTTTTTCCCCTGTTTGAAGTTTGCTCAACTTTGTGAATCTGTAGGTTCATGTCTCTTGCCAAATTTAGGAAGTTTTCAGGCATTATTTCTTTGAGTACTTTTTTGGCCTGGCTTCTTTCTCCTCTCCTGGTAGACTCCAATGACATTAATGTTAGATCTTTTGTTATGGTACCACAGACCACTGAAACTTTTTTTTTTAGCCTATTTTCTCTGTCGCTCAGACTGGGAAACTTCTACTGCTTTATCTTCAAGTTTTTGGATTCTTCCTTCTGCCTCCTGTATTCTACTGTTTAGCCCATATACACTTTTATTTGAGTTATATTTTTAGTTATAAAATTTCTATTTAGTTCTTCTTTATATCATCTATTTCTTTTATGAGACTTTCCACTCTCATTGTCTCAAATGTGTCACAATTATTCATAAATCATTTTTGTCAGTGACTATTTTAAAACTCTTTCCTAGACATTTCTAACACTTCCATTGTCTCAGTGTTGGCACCTGTTGATTATATTTTTACATTCACTCTGAGATCTTCCTGATTCTTGGTGTCATTACTGATTTTCTTGTGAAATCTGGACGTTTGATATATTATATTATAAGACTCTGGATCTTGAAACTTCTGTTTTAGCTTGCTTATTCTGACATTTCTCTGGCACAGGTTGGGAGAAGGGTGTTACCTTATTACTGCCAAGTTGGGGTAGAAGTCTCTTCACTCTACTTGGCTTCTACGGACCCCAGAGGAGGGAATGCCTCATTTATACTGGGTGGGGATGGAGAGTCCAGAACCCAGTAGGCCTCCGCGGATACCCTCCTGGCTGGGAGGGGCAGGAGTGACTCATTACTGCTCCCTGACTGTCCACACTGACATCACACTGACATCATGAATGATGTGGCCTCATTACCCTGGGAAGTGGTGAAATTCTTGACTCCCTAGGCAGTCCTCCGACTTAACTCCAATGGAAAGGAGACAATTCTTTCGTCACGAAGTGGGGTACAAGTCCAAGACCCTAGTGAGGCCTCCACTGGCACTGCAGATGTTGGGGCCTCTTTACTATTCTAGTGAAGATGAACATCCCAATGCCTCTTCTTAAAAACCTAACTACAACCATTATTTAGATATTCTGTTTGCTTATCATCTGCTAATCATCCTTTTTGAGTTTTTCTAGAAGTCACATAGTTATTTTTACTGTTGATAGTAAACCTACTTATCCCGTTGGTCTAAAATTTGTTGAGATCATCCATCTTTTCCCCTTTTGTCTTTGAATTTCTTTTAAAATCAATTTCTCTTTTCTTTTTGTCTCTTATACTGAATATACCCCAATTGTTTTGATTCTCAACTCAAAATTCGTAATGTTCAAACTTTTGAAGGAATGGATACATTTCTAAGAAAGCTCAGAAGGCTTTTTATAAATTGATACAGATACCTTATACTTCTTCCTTTCAATAAATTTTCATATACCTCTACAGAAATGATTCCATGCCGGTACTTCCATGGAAAGCCTTTATTTAGAAGAGGACTTTACAAAATAATCCATGGTAATATGTAATCACTTGACAGTGACAAATTCTCTTCTTGAGTCTCTCTTATCCTCTGTCTTTATATTTCTGCTATTTACTTATTTTTAAACACTTTATAC